AATGACCAAAACCAAAGAAATGAAGGGTACTGTCAATAAAGAACTAGAGATATATAGACAGAATTGAAACCTTCTTTCTCCAAATTTTCGCATTCTTGTACAGCATCTAAAGCATTCCCTGCCTGCACCATACAACAAAATTTATTAATGATTGCAAAGATACAAAACACAGATTAATATTACTGATACTAAGTGGGGCAAGAGGTTGAGTTGAGAATACATCTTTACAGATCTAGTAAATAATTAAGAGAAGGGGATTTTCCCTACAATATGTTTACCCTACTGAGTGATCTGGCCAAATTAATGGATATATCTTGGAAATGAGATTTTTGAACAGTGCCTGAAGCAGAGCTAATTGCAGAGCGTGCTAGTCTATAAGCAGCAGCAGCAGCACGATAGTCAAACCGTGCCTCACAAACTAGTCCATACATATTATGAGATTCAGGATAGTGAGGAGCACGCTGAATTGCCTGCTGCATGGCTCCAAAAACCTGCGACCAAATTACTAGAAAATTTCAAGTAATACTCTTTGAAGCATCCCACCATTAGCACTTGCTTCACAAGAAGAAGAAAGTATATTTTTCTTCTAAAGAGGCTAAACCTCGCCTATCACTTATAAATGGCTGTACCTGTGGAGATGAAAGGTGCCCCGTGAGCTGAGCAAGCTTCGCCAGACCAATTTGGAACTCCGCAAGCTGCAAGAAATCAAAGCTTTCAGTACAGCCACAGAAAGCTCTATAGGTAAAATGTTGGCAAGAGAGCCCATAATCACCACTTGATACTTCAATGTTAGATTTCAGGCCAAATAAAAAGTTAAAAGCAAAAATTTTTGGGAGAATGAGGAGAAAGTGTCTCACATTAAACCTCCTTTTATTTAAAATAAAAAATAAAAAAATCTATCCCATCATGACCAGATAACTGTTCAGCACAGAAATGAGATGAGACAACAATGGAATAATTTGAACTTCTGGTCAAACATCATTTTTTCTGGTTAGTTCAACATGTATCAATTCAGAGTGCCAATTTTATCATATAAAATGTATTTAAAGAGCATCAATTGGGAAACAACACTAACAGGTAATACTTGCACAGCTCGTAAACAGCTCTCAAAAGCTTCATCTAGTGAAGGCTCTCTGCAGGATGAAGTATATGTTAAAGGCTGCAAGGTGACAACTCAATATAAAATCTATATATATATACATATGGTTAAAAATTTACCTAGCATGAGCATCAGCTGACATGCCTGCCCATGGTAATGCAAGTGAAGGATCTATACTTCTAGCAGAATCAAATGCTTGTCTTGCTAACTTCATCTCACCTTCCTCTCTATATAGCTGTAAAAACCGATACAGAAACATTACCAACTCATTCTGTTTGTATCGAATGTTAATGAATTGATTAATGTCTCCCAGCTGTAGGGACAATAAATGTGGCTAAGACAAACAAAGGTAACATGCCATCAGCCTAATCAGCAAGAGGCACCAGCCCAAGTTCAGTCAATTAATAAGGCTGAACTCACATATAAAGTTCAACTAACTACAAGGGCCAAAACGAGTTTAGCATCCATCCATATAAGTTAACCCTTGAAAGAAAGCAAGAGACTGAAATCCAACATGAAAAATATATCCCACGATATTTGCAGCTTACTCGTAGCATCCAATTATTCAATCCTACTAAGTTTTAAGATAAAGCAATCACCGATTTGTGTATATTGAGAAGGGGGTGTTGTGGATAAATGTAGAGGTGATTCTGTTGCAAAAGTAGCAAGGGAAACTCAATATGATACCATAACATGTATGGACTAGTTCAAGTACACAGTGATAGCTATTCTCCATTAGTGATTGTCCTTAATAAGCAATGTAGCCCAAATTCAGCCCAGGAGATTAAAGAATAAATTTGACAATACCTTCCCAAGGTGTGCCCAAGCAACAGCTAAAGATACATCCAATTGCAATCCCTTAATAAAAGCATGCTGTTTTAAAGCATTATGATCAGATAAACATCCCAGTGCAACCCAAAATTCATGGTTATCACCCTCAAGAAACAAAGAACCCAAAACCATCTTCTCAGACAGCTGCCTGGTAAAAAGGAAGCAGGTTATAATAGAAAATCCTTTAGCCAAATGTAAATGAACAAATATAACCCAAATGAGCCAAGACCTTACCAAGCACTGAGGTGATTCTCGCAGCTTTCATTCAAAGAAGAAATGAGATCTAAAGTTATTGCAATATCAGTATAGATATTGGCTTGCCATGGAGCCAAAAGCAGAGCTCGTTGATAAGAATTTCTGGCAGAAATGGCTGCCATAAGGCAGGTTCTCTTCCAGGAAATGATGGAGGCATGGAAAGTTTCAACATCTAATTCTAAACTCTGGCTCTCTTCAATCCATGGGAAACATTTTGCATATGTAAGCTACCAGAAAGGAAACACAGCACATTTAAATTAGTCATGCCACAGACATCATAACTTCATACAACCAGGTGCTCTATATAAATTGAATGATAAGACATAATTACAAGAAAGAAGAAATAAAAAAAATGGGTGCCATTTAACTGGTATATAAAAGATCAAGCCATTTCTTTACAGTTTAATAACAAAATGGTTGAAGCTTTAGATAATCATACCTGAATGTCACCATGCAACTTCCATACAGATGATAGGTTTCCTACTAAAGAAGTATTAGATTCTGCAACTTTACATGCATCCTGCAAGCACTTAAAAAGTGAGTAACAAATACTTCGCCCCCACCCCAACAAAAACAAGGAGGGCGCCAATTGCTTGAAACTGCAAAATGACTGACCTCTAACAGTGAAGCTCCCCATCTAAATGCACCCATATTAATACATTCTTTTGCCCAACCAAGTAGTCCAGAAGCAAGCCCGTAGTGTGCAGACACATTTTGAGGTGAAATATTAAGAGCTTGTTGAAATTGCTCAACTCCCTTAATGCATAAAGACCACAATATCAAATTTCATCATCGCATCTACATAATATAAGCAATTGGTACAAAGGAAGAAGTTCAATAAATTTACATTCAATACACAAATCTATTATATCCCTTAGTATAGGCAAATGGTATTAAAATGTGCTTGCTCAAAAGTGCATTGCAAGTCCAACTGTGCGCTTCACAGCGACAACACTGGATAACTACAAGGATGTTTAAAAAGATATTTGTTCCAACTATACCATAAACGGACCTTCTTCATCAAGCAATTAAGGTAGACAAATAGAACTAAGAAAAAAAAATTACCTTTCTAAAAGAACCAAGCAACAAAAAGATGTTTCCACTTTCAAGAAACGCAAAGATGCTTGAATCATCCAATTCAATAGCTCGCCCATATGACTGTCAAAAATAATAATAAAACTACTACTTTAATAATGGAACTACAACTTCAGACAATAAAGAACCGGCTATAAGCTGAGCGCCTGAGAAACAGGACACGTAGAGAAGAGCAGTGGCAGTAAAACAAAAACCTTAATAGCAGCAGTAAACATGCCAAGTCGATGGTAAGCAAGACCAAGAGCCTAGCAAGGAAAGATTTTGAAACGTAAGTTTGAAAAAGAGAGTTAAAAAAATAACATAAAAGTTAAAGAGAAATTGAAAAACATACTTCCCAGAGACGAGGAGAGGTTGGGTAGCCTCGTATGGCATGTTGAAGACTCTGAACAGCATCAGACCAGTTGTCGTTATGCAATTGCAGATAACCCAATCGTCGAAATGCCCAGAAAGCCCTCGGTGACTTCTCTGAAGCCTCTCTGCATACGCCTATTTCCAAGCTCTCTTTTCCTCCTTGCTCCAACAAATCACATAAACCATCCTGTTGTATTCCGTATTTGTTTGTTCGTTCGTTAATACAAAATAAATTTGTTTATTTATTGAAAGAAAAATAATTTAATAGAAAAATAATTTAATAGGATAATGTGGTACTCACTCACCCCAGAGTCAGAATCATCAGGATTGAGAGAAATGGCTCTCTGGTAACACTTGAGAGCTCTATGGTTATCTGAGCAAACTCCCCTGTAATAATCACCCAAATATCTGAAAGCCGCTGCGTTTTGAGGGTTAAATTTGGCCGATTTTACAAAATGCTCGGCTGCTTTTTCCTTTGATTCTGATCTCTCCCACAGGTACACCCCCTGAAATTTAAAAATAAAAAAATAATTTTTCATAAATTCATCATGAAAATTCATCAAACAATTTATTAAATAAATAGTTATGGAAATTACGAGATCAAAGTGAACGGAAGGGTCCTCCGGATTGGCTTCTAAAGATTCCTCCAATTGTTTTAACAGAGCTTCGTTTTCCTCTTCCTGAAACAAACACAACCCATCGTCATTCAATAATAGTTATAATAACTAACACTTAACAAATTATACAGAAGCAAATTCAAGGAGATGACCGTTTTATTCATTTTCGAAACTTAAACCCTAAACCACTCTTCAGGCTTCAGTTCAGGTTTATATACTGAAAACGAAATTCAATATCCAATCCCTCCTATTTCGCCACTTCTACTTTACTTCGATACTATACATTTTCGAACAGTGTTCCATGCGGGTTTTCAAATTTCCAGTTCCACACCTTTTAATTCTATCGATTTTTCTCATCAAATATTCCTTCCTGGTTTCTTGCTCTTTACTTTCAATTTTTTTTTTTCTTTTGACACATGATGAAGATAATCAGTCTGGGCCGTTTCAGTGAAGAGAGGCCCAGCTTGAATGAAGCAGGCTGCTCCACTTCAGTGGCCCAGCTCCATTGAAGCAGCTCTTTAGCCCAATCATATATATATATATATATATATAATGAATATCATAACAGCCCAGACAATGACACAAATACAACTTCTAACAATTATGAGCCTAAATTTTTTTCTTGCAATGTGGATCTTCATTAATTGATGTTCATCAAAATTAAAAGGCATAAATTTTGTTAGTTCTGATCAGAAAAATATGCTACATCCTCAATGAAACTTCATTATTTCTCATTTAGTAGTAAAAAAATAGAAATAATATCCTGCTGAAATGCTGAGGATAAATGCATTTATCCACTTCGTCACTACATTTTTCTTTTATTACTCATCAAAGGCAAATTTTTTGATCAAATAACATTGCTTCTATTTGGTGGCCACTGCAATTATACTGCTCACTAAACTGGCCTGCTCTTTAGCAATCTCCACCTGTGAATCCTGCATTCCAACCCAAACAATGAATCAAACCATAACTTTGTAAATATTACTTTGAAATGCATTCAATTTTTGAAGAACCATTTACCTGTGCATCAATCAACCGTCCAACTGCTCTCTTGCTTGACTCTTGAAGTTCACCGGCTATCAGAATTTCATCCAATATATAATAAGCCTGCTCGTTCAAAATCAAAAGCTCTTCACTAATCCAATCAAAAGCCTTTTCTTTTCTTTTGAGATAGTAATAAAATAGGTAATGTTTGCCAGCATAAATGAGGCAGATTCAAGGAAAATACCTTATGAAAGTTATAAATCAAGTCCAGCTCACAAACCTAACAGGAAAGCAGAAAATTCCAAGAAAAGTTAATTTTAGATATCACAACAATAAGCTTTCTTATTATTAATTATTTCAAGGCTTAGGAATCTCACATTGCCAAAATAGCGATCCAAAATCTCAACATAGTGGTGGATTATCGCCAGAATCTCCAGTTCATTGTCCTCTGAATCGATGCACATGCAGAAATAGAGGCCGGCATATCTGAAACATAAATAAATTGTTTTCATATTAAGTCTAATGTATTGCATGAACTGTGAATGGAGTTTGGAGTATGTTGATACCTTTTGTAAACAACTTTTAACCCTCTCCACTCCACAAAGTTGCAAAGCCTGGGGCCTCGACTAAGGATTATGCCACAAAGCTCTCGAATAACCTTGTCCAAGTTAATTACCATTCACCACTCATCAACATTCATGTTCAAATTACATCACACAAGAAGATTTCAATTAAAGCTCGAGCAAAGGAGTCTACATTTCTCAGTCAACAAACAATCTAATGCATCTCTATGACTCTATTCAAATCTAAATCATCAGAAAAAGCAGAAGAAAACTGTACCAAATGTCATCCAACAGAACAGTAAAATTAGATAGAGGGAATCTGAAGCAAGTTGAATGATAAGGTGAGAGTATTTCAGTGAATTTAACGGAGAGAGTTGAAGATACCTGAGCTCTTTCTTTCTGGGAATAGGGTGAATACCATTTGGTGAGTCTCACTTTTCCTTGGCGACTAACGAGAATCACAAAGTGAATCTAAAACACATGAAGACGCAGTGATATATAATACAAGAAGAGCACAAGACGAAAATATTTTCCAACACCAGAACAAGTATGTGATGTAAAACTCTTCAGGCTGATTTTGATAGATTAATTCTGTTTATATCCTCTTAAAAAATTTCAATAAATTCTGCGTATTATCCCAATCACATCTACTTAGGAGGATCTATTTAAAACATTTTCGATCTCTAATCACAATGCTGGTGCTGTGAATCAAGTGTCAGTTTATAAAATTGCAACCAAGAAATGTGAAGAATAAGAGAAAACATACCATGATTTACCTGGAGGGCCACAAGGGTGGTAACTGTGGGATAATTTTTCTTAAGAAATAGTCGAGGTGTGTGTAAATTAATGCCGACACCTCAATCAAGGAAAAAATTTGTTAAAGTTAGGTTGTTTCTTTGTATAGAATGAATTATGGATATGAAAAATGCTTTCAATTCGCACAAAAAAACCGGGCCTTCCCAACGGCCAAAGAAGATAATAGTCCGTTTAACAAAGTAAATAAAACGGTGTGTTTTCCTGTTGGCGGCAAATAGCCACAAATCTTACAGGTTAGATTCACTTGGAGCTAGTCCTCGGCAAAATCATTCGGAGTTGACTCTGTTAAATAATAAAAACGTGGAAGGAATGAATATTAAACCAGCTTGACATCATTTATACGTAAACTTTTAATAATGTTATAGGTAATCTGGCAATTAATAAATGAAATTAAATTCCATTAGTCAAAATAATGATCAGCGCTTTAATGGTGGTTGGCTGTAATATTTAACTGTCAACTATCAATAAAGGAAATTTCGTCATTCTTTCTTCTCATTTGTGCTTTTGGTAAAGGCAAATCAGCTGCTAATTTCATCTCCAGACTCCATGGCAGAATAACCAATGGTTTCCAGTCTTTCTACAAACAAATAATAATGTTGGTTGATGCATTACATACTGACTATCTGGAGAACCCACCAAACAGTTTTATACATAAATCAGTTGACCCACTCTAAAAGCCTGTACAACAACTACATAAAACCACTCTGCTTATATTGCAAGAAACATAATATAACTTCCTCTTTCTACTACAACTATTCAGCTTACACATTCCCCTTATCAGACAAAATAAACAAGCAGACTTGTTATTTATCCTACATAGACCCAAAAAAATTTAAGGATATGGTTATCTCCCTTCAGCTAATTCTCTGTGGATGAGATACCGAAAGGTTGAACTTTGTGGTAGCCAATTGATACATTTTTCGTACCTTCCCTTGATGCATTTTCTGATAGCATTCTGTTGCACTTCTGATACGCAATCTGTTATTAACTCCAAGACCCCTGATACATCTAATGACATATCCTTTGCAAAGTAGTATACAATTTTTGGGAGATAAATCTTCGATTCCTTGTGGATGCACAAGCTGGATTGAATAAAATCTTCAAATGCAAGTTTGAGATCATGAAATATACTCTTAGCAGTGTAAACTCGAACCTAAATCATTAAGAAGTTTGTGAATCAGAAAAAAGCAGTGCCAAGAATAGAAATAGTAAATCTATGATGGCTACAAATTTGACTGGCATAAGAAATATACATACCACAGGATCAGAGTAAGCCCCTGAACAAAGTGCAAAATGAACAAGCGGCTCTGGATATTCTAAGGCATATACATGCTTGGTGTTGCCAGTCTTAAATTTCCTTCCTGGAGAAAACAGCGTTTGTAGCCTCTGCATTATGAAACAGAAAAGTTTGAATGATCTGCCACATCTAATATTTTAGATTAGGCATTAAAAACTTAAACTTGTACTTTATACAGATTAATATATCCCAGCCCTGATTTGAATTGGCTTAACCAGCTAAAACATGAAGGCAAGTTGTCTCTGACTGGAAATTGCCCAATATACCTCATCCACATGTACCAACTATAAATTGCAATGAAACTCTCAAGACCACTATATCATTTTTATTCTCTAAGGTCATTATTTCTTAGGGTTGCTGCAATCCAAGGCACTAATTCCAATAGTAGAGATCAATTCAGTCAACAGAACACGCTAAGATGCTTATGGTACAGTTAAACAGATTGCTCCCCTGATCCCCTGCAAGAGGGGCCTCCTTGAAGTCTTCAACCCAAGAGAAAGGAGCTTTTCAATCAAGCCACCATTTCTGCCTTGAGACTTACAAGCAACCAATAAAATAAGCATGCACAACCATGATACATGTAAGATTTTGCAATATAAATGCATACCGGTGCTGACTGGTGTGGCCGAATTCCTAGAATCGAGCTTTGAATGATGTATGCATCTACACAATGTCCGCCCACATTGTATGCTGACTGAAAGATGAATAAATATGAACAGTTATATTTAGAAATTTATAACGAATCACATTAACTAAATATGAGATTAACAAAACCTTTAAAATGGAGGTACTCTTTACACGATTACTAGTTCCATGTGCTAAATATGCCTGTAAATAAAATCCCCAGAGCATATCAGATATAAACATCAAACAGAGATTAGGATCACAAAAGTTCTAGTCAACATTGTATAATATCATTGTGACTCTGAAGCAAAATTAATTTCAGTTATCATATTATATACAGATTAAGACTATTGCTGGCAATAGGCAGAGGTCCAACCAACAAAGGGTCCTCTATATTTTGTATTAATCAAACAATGATTGGGATGATACTTTGCAATGGATCAGTTGTTAACCTTTTTCTACCGTTTCACAATTTTATTTTGGTGTCCTGTTAGATGAGACAAATATATTTCAACACATGTTGTATCATAAGCCATACTTAAAGGAAAGATAAGCTTCTCAAAAACATACATGCATAGCCAAGGCATTGTGAATGTTGATCCAGAATGCAAGCTTCTCTTCCCGCTTCATCTTCGTCGGGTCAACCTTCTCAAGACTTCGAACCAATGACCTATAAAGCTTTAAAATGAATGAGAAGACTAAAAAAGTATTACATTAATCACGTTCTTACTTTAACAAAGTGTTGGAATCTCATTCAGCAATATGTATATTTGAAGGATAAAATTCAAACAAACACCACTGCAGCTACTGTACACATTAGATAATGCAGTCAATTTGCAAGTTGAACTATAGCATAGCTGGGTTCATGTTGACCACCTGAAATTTTGTAGCATTTCGGCAGCATAATTGAAACTATCCTCATCTAAATATATCTTCAGTACTTCAATTGCAGCATGTGGTCCTCTCTCTTCTTTCAACCCTTTATGTACGGAAGCATCCTCATGGTAACTTGGACTCCAACTATCACAAGGATTCTTAGAAGAAAATATGCTTGAGGAGGACAGAGACGAAGTGGGGGAAGCTGACAAGCCCGCATTGCTGTGAGGGGCACTGGCGAGTTTGCAGTATATAGAAGATATGCATCTCACGATATCTTCAGAGAGTCTTTCTGGAGTATTAATGTAGTTCTCCAAGCGAGAGGCACAAAGGTGATCAGCGAGGCTGAGATGACCAGAACCTTTTCTTTTCTCATCCTGCATATGCACACAACACATGAAATTGTAACTTACATGTCTTAGGTGAATATAAACTTGTGCAAAGAAGGAAGCTCAATTACATAAATTTAGGTGATGGTGCATGATGCATAATTACCCTTGTAGAAGCTGCTTTTAAACAAGCTGCAGAATTTCTATTATCTGAAGTGAATGAATCATGTCCAGGAGAAGCGTGGCTATGAGGAGAAAAATCATCCTTCTGGATTTCTGGCTCCAATTTACAATAAGATTGATTTGGTACAATTTGTGTTGGAGATCCTGCCTTCAACTGTAAATAGGTCCCAGTAATATTTGATAATGTCGGTAGATGCTCTTCAAAAGCTGTCCGATAAAGTGAAAGAAGATAGCGTTCCAAACACAAAATATCAGCTTCAAGTGTAGCAATCTCCTTCCTCAGTTCTACAGAAGACTGCATTAGATGCTCAAAAGTCAAATTAGATTTAAACAAAATAGGAAACAGATTAAAGATAATGATTACATTTGTTGTTTGAATTTTGTTCCCCCGGAAATGGTAGTAAATTGCCTAGATGGGTGTTGAATATTTATAGCCAACCCAAGCATAAAAAGTTTGACCATCAATTTCTTATGAATTTTTCCATATGGTTGGCAATGTAGATCAGAGCCGTGTATGAGATAGAAACCTTTAATGTTGTAGTGTTGTTGGAAGGAATTGCTATGATGGAACGACAACTTGCTGCTTTCTCAGAGTCCGGAGATGGGGAACTTTGGTGCCGTACTGTCCTCTCCAACTGTACAGTCCATGTCCAAAAATGAGAGCATGAAAGAATAAACAATGCTATGAATTTGGGATATTAAGTCAAACAATTCAAGCTGAATTGAAGACTAATTGAAAAAGCTCCTTGTACCAGAAAACAAGGTAAAACGTGGTCAACCAAATTTAACTGCTGACTAGTGTGGTTCATACTTCATATTGGGGTTACCCCGAGTCTTAAAATTTGCCATCTTATTGGAAATTCTGCAAATTTTAAGTACTTGGAATCACATTCTGTTGTTGCTGTATGATTAATCTTAAAATCCAAACGAAAAGTAATACCGGCATGTTTTGTCACATAATAAGACATAAACAACCAGCCTATTTCTAGGAGAGCCAGGCACCCCAAATTTTGATTTTGAGAACAAGTAGTTTAGTTCATCTTGGAGAACATGGAAAGTACTCGGTCTCCTTGGCAAAAAACTCCACCTCTGTAAATTTTATAGCGCTTTTAACAAGGTGTATAAGATCCTAAAACTATTTCCTCAATCTTGATAGTCACTTAAATACAGAGAGACCGAGCTGGAAAGGAAAAGAAACTGCCAACACCCCACATCCCCAAAAGATAAAAGACGACAAAAAACCAGATATCAACGATATGGTGGAAGTTATATATAAAGTGAAACAAATTATTGGCAAAAAGAACCACTGTAAACTTTTGATCTACCACCAACATATTTCAGGCAATGAAAATGACATAAAAGGAAGCAAATCTAAAGCAACCGCACTTACAGGAATTAATTGGGAGGAGAGTCTAGGCGATATATTGATTATGTTTTGTAGCAGCCCATTGTCAAGAGTACTGTAACTAACCCAAGATAATATTACTGGTACTGGATATAAACAGTTACTTGATGACTAACGATTAAGCAAATGCACTGGTAAAACTTACCGTAAGGAACTTGATTGTGGAGGAGAAGGACAAGAAGAAGAGGAAGAGCGGCAATTCCCACCCAGCATGATCTTTTTTTCTAATTTGCTTTATGAAATTTTCGAAGAACCTAAGAGATCACAATCAACAGTTACACTTTTAGACATAAAAATGCACCAGAAGAAGCAAAGAGAGAGAGGAAAAGTACAAGATAAAACTTCATCTTAAACTTGAAAGCATAAAGTAGAAACGACATTACCTTAGTCAAACGGCATCGATATCACTCCTAGAAAATAAGAATGGCCTGATATTATTGAATTATGCATAGTGAGATAAACAAAAAGACACTAAACATACATACAACAAAATACAATAAGCATTAACACAATCTAAATAAGGAAATAAAACTAGGCTAAATATATATAGAACAATTAAAAACCAGATGCATTTTTTGAAAACAGAGTTTCGATTCTTTGGTTATATTATTCTCTGGAATCTGCTGAAAGGAAACTAAACAACAAAAGAAACAGCAAGTCAAGAAGCTGACATTACCAGTTAGTTACAGTGAGTTAAGTGTACCCGCGCAAAACCAAACCCAAAGCCACTAACAATCAAACAAACCATCACCAAATGGCATCCGAAACAACAGAACCACCCAGCTACAAAAGCTTATTATAAACACAAATTAGAAGGAACAAAAAAATATAGATGACCCACCTTAAAATATAAGAAGTGAGTGCTGCTTAAACAAATATTTTTGTTAAAAAAAAAGGATTATGATATATGCTTGCAAACAAACAATATCTCAGAAGTGGGGACGACCCACCTAGAGGAGTTGAATAGAGCATTAAAAACAGCAATTATGAGAGATATGAGGTGATGAGAGAGAGCATATGGTTACTGTCTCCTAAAATCATAATTATTTTGATTACTGAGTAATATTAAAAAAAACACATATGCTTATTAGATTAGGTAGAGGAAAGTAAACTGTTATGATTGCGACTTTGCTCAAAAGGAATTAGGTATCTTTTAGCTCTCCTATGCCATTCCACCTCCTCCACTCCACCCATTAAAGTTTTAAAGTTTCTAGCATGCATGTCACCAGCACCTTCCCCTGTTTCTTCTTTGAATTAGTCTCTAATACAACTCTTAATTTAAACTGATATTTCATTAAATATGCTCATATTTTCTTCGATTTTAATGTGGTGAAAAGATGGAAACCTAGAAAATTACCCATCACGGAGTGAATGAATGCACTGATGAGAGCTACCGGCTGGAATGTGATTTAATGAAAGAAAACACTGATAGTAGTGGCAGAACAACCTTTTGGTTTTGCTTAAAGAAGAAATAACTAGAGACTGCTTGATTAGATGTCCAAATTATTGAAGAATAAATAAAAGAATGAATCGAGTACATCACATTAGCTGGTGCAATAAATGCTGGCGTGGGGACCTGTAAAAAAAGATCATCGGATCCGATAGCATTGAATACTTCCATTCTTCCCAAGTCTTTCCCTTACATTACACCCATGTTAACAGCATGTATAATTACAGGAATTAAAGCAAATACTAAAGACAATTTGCATTAACAAAACAGATCAAATCCAGGGTATCATGTGAAACCAGCAACACCACTGCTGTTTGAGTAATTTTAATCACTGTACAACTTATATAAGCAGAGAAGCCAAATAAATAATTGCATCGGAACTTGGGAGTTGGGAGTGATAAACTTTTTATTAGTTCTTATTGATATTACAACTGAAAATTTAATTTGGTCTTCTCGAGGCTGTCAGATTTCGGCAGGGGATCACTGGTGATTATATGCCATTCATGATAAGCATGGGTGGGTTTCAGAGTTATAAAAACTTGAGATGGGTATGAATCCGGAGCTCCAACTTTCAGAAAGGCCCGGGTTGAGGGCTGCGCTGAGGTTGGGATGTTCCGTCCAAATTCCAATCACAAAAGAATGGGCCAAGGCCAACTACAGTTTGTCCAGTACCCAAATAAAATTGCTTAATTTAGACCCGCAACTGACCTTTAACTTTAATAATAGTATTAAAACTGGGTAGTTGGAGGGAATTTGTCGTAAGGTCCAGATGTTAAAAGGCCCATAAAGATAATAAGATCTGAGATAAATGCTGCGTTTGTGGACCATCAACCTAGAACAAAAGAAGCGAAGTGTGAACCTCCTGAGAAGTTTTAAAGCAGAAGAATAGCTTAAGAGGAGGGATTCATGAATATAACTAAAGGACTAGCACTATTGAATTTGGCAGAACAACTCATATAGCCATAGCCCTACATGAAGTTATCACCAGCTTCAACCGACACAACCTGAACCTACCCAACCACTTGGTTTATACCTACCATACATATCGAATATTTCAACTTCTAAATCTTACACCATAAATTTTATCAATAATACTAAATCTGTAACCTTCTTTCATATATCTGACGTGGCAGTTAGTCATTGGTTTGCTCGCAAATGGACAGACATGACCCATACAAGCAGGCATAACCCATTTTACGAGCTAATCAATAACGAGCTACTACATCGAGGGTTGTGAGATTGGATTGTAAACTTAGCATTACTCATTTTTTATATGTATATTCATCATTTTATGTGCCAAAGGGATTTTTATGTTTATGATTATGTGTTATGTATTGTGGTTAATTTAATAGGCGCCCTTGGAAGGCAATGGGAAGAAGATTTGAGTTGAAAAGGTTGAGAGCCGAAGATAAGATCAGAGTGGTGAATGGTGATGGATGGATGGATGAATGCAAACAGGAGAAGTCTCTTCAATGTTGAAATCTTACAGTGGAGATGGAGCCATTGTGTTTTGATAAATAGGCCACACGTGTGCATGTCCACATCTATCTATATCTAATATCTTATCCATCTTCTTCTTTTTTCATGAATTAAAACAAGCGTATAAGTATTTCCAGTTAATTATCTTACTGGAGGGGAGGTCACCATGTACATATGGAACCAATTATTTGAGGGCTGGCCCGGACAGTCAACGGTCAATCACATTACCATCACCAACTCTCATATATATTCTTTTGCATTTGGCAGCAAGGAAGAAGCCGATCCATTAAAACCCCCCAGACAGCTCAGCTGATAGTGTTTTTCCTTATCATAAAAGTTTCTGCAAATAATTTCATCAAATCTTTGCTTCTGCATGCTTACAAATACTCACAGACACACTGCCTGTTTCTTCATTTTCAATTTCGGAAGATTATTGTCGTTCTCCCGCTAAACAGCGAAACAACGGTCAACCCAATCTCTGATATATCATAATCCTTGGACCAGTTCTTCATCACATATTTTTCTATTATATATATATATAGGTGTAGGTCTATCATCTATGTTGACGTGTGACACAAATTCTGTTTATATTGTCCTTATCTATTTAGATGTTTAGTAAGGACATTTTTTTTATTCTCAAGGTCTTAGGATTTTAATATATAAACTCCCTAATGTTATCGGTGAGATATCATTATATTTCTCTTTATTCTTTTTCTTCCTGAAACCTATTGAGAAAGAGAGAGAGCAGATTTGTAATCAGACTTTGATTATAGTGGATTATTCCTCATCCTCTGCGCGTGGTTTTTCCTAATTTGGGTTTCCACGTAAATTCTAATGTCATTTGTTTTATATTTCTCGCTTGTTTCATTTGACTTTCATAGTTTTTGGGTATATTTCAAAAAAATTGGTATCAGAGCCAGGTTTAATGGCGTCTACTTCAGGATTCGACACGACCGGATTATCCTGTAAGGCTAAAATTGAGAAGTTTGATGGTACAACAAGCTTTGTAATATGGCAAGTCAGAATGATGGTAGTATTGACAAAGGAAGGTACCAAGAAGGCACTGCAGGAGAAGGCCAAGAAGCCTGAGACTATGACAGATGCTGAATGGGAGGATATCTAGCATTGACTTCCGATGTACTCAGAGAGATATTGGAAGTGAAGACAGTAGCAGAAGCATGGAAAAAGTTGGAGAATAAGTACCTAACAAAATCTCTCACGAATAGGCTGCAGTTAAAGCAACGTCTTTACACATTGCGATTGTTAGAAGGTAGTTCCTTGAATTCACATCTAGCTAAATTTTCAACAATAATTACAGACTTAAGTAAAATTGATGTGAAAATTGAGGATGAGGATCACTAATTACATGCTCATTTTCATTGATGATTTCTCTAGAAGAGTTTGGGCATAAGGAGAAGAGTCAAGTTTCTAAAACCTTCAAACAGTGGAAGACTTTAGTTGAAAGGCAAACACGTAAGCACATCAAGAGGCTTAGAACAGACAACAGGCTTGAGTTTTGTAATGAAAAATTCAGTGAGTTCTGTAGAAATGAAGGCATTGCAAGACATAGACCAGTTGTAGGAACTCCACAACAAAATGGAGTTGTAGAAAGGATGAACAGAACAGTACTTGAGAAAGCTCAATGTATGCTTTCAAATGCAGGCTTAGGGAAGGAGTTTTGGGCTGAAGCAGTAAACACAGCAATTTGGCTAGCTAACCGCTCTCCCAACACATCTATTAAGTGTAAGACCATAGAAAAGGTATGGTCTGATAAGCCTGCCAATTATTCTATATTGAGAGTTTTTGGTCTCATGTAAATGAAGGAAAGCTTGAACAAAAAGCAAAGAAGTGTGTGTCCCTTGGTATTCATCTAGTGTGAAAGGATACAAATTATGGTATCCAGATCACAATAAGTTCTTAATTAGTAGAGATGTGACATTTGACGAGTCTTCCATGCTCAAAGACAAAGGAGAAAAATCAAGAAAGACACATGTTCAGGTCAAGGAGAAAGATCAAAAACAGGTGGAGTTTAAAGTTGTTGCTCAGCCTACACAATCTCTTAGTTCTATTCTAACCCAGAGTGACAATCAAGTTAATGAAGAAAGCTTAGAAAATTCGAAGGAGATTCAAGAGGATCAACAAGAGCAGTCTTATAGTCTTGCCAAAAATAGACCTAGGAAACAACAGGAATATAACTTCCTCTTTCTAATACAAATTTCAGCTACACATTCCCTTATTAGACAAAATAAGCAAGCAGACTTGTTTTTATCCATAGACCAAAAAAATTTAAGGATATGGTTATCTCCCTTCAGCTAATTCTCTGTGGATGAGATACCGAAAGTTGAACTTTGTGGTAGCCAATTGATACATTTTTCGTACCTTCCCTTGATGCATTTTCTGATAGCATTCTGTTGCACTTCTGATGCGCAATCTGTTATTAACTCCAAGACCCCTGATACATCTAATGACTATCCTTTGCAAAGTAGTATACAATTTTTGGGAGTAAATCTTTTGATTCCTTGTGGATGTACAAGCTGGATTGAATAAAATCTTCAAATGCAAGTTTGAGATCATGAAATATACTCTTAGCAGTGTAAACTCGAACCTAAATCATAAGAAGTTTGTGAATCAGAAAAAAGCAGTGCCAAGAATAGAATAGTAAATCTATGATGGCTACAAATTTGACTGGCATAAGAAATATACTACACAGGATCAGAGTAAGCCCCTGAAAAGTGCAAAATGAACAAGCGGCTCTGGATATTCTAAGGCATATACATGCTTGGTGTTGCCAGTCTTAAATTTCCTTCCTGGAGAAAACAGCGTTTGTAGCCTCTGCATTATGAACAGAAAAGTTTGAATGATCTGCCGCATCTAATATTTTAGATTAGGCATTAAAAACTTAACTTACTTTATACAGATTAATATATCCCAGCCCTGATTTGAATTGGCTTAACCAGCTAAAA